AATTCCCCAGCCAACCATGCTGGCTGGGGAATTCTGGGAGTTGAAGTCCACACATTTTAAGGTTGCCAAGGTTGAGAAGCACTGGCCTAGGGCATCAAAATGTCTATAGCCAGCCCTGCTCTAACAAAGAAGAACATAAAGTTACTCCTTGAAATCATTTGGTCACAGCACAGATCTGCTTTCACTGGAACTCATGAACATTAGGACTATTGTCTTAGTCCTGATCCCACTCCATTAAAAGTTTTGAGTTTGGAGGTGGGTTAAAGGTAAATGTTTTGTGGATGAAATGAAGCTGTGAAGTATAGTCTCTCCTCTGCTAATCCCATAAGTCATTCCAGCCACACCAGTTTCTCAGACTCAAAACTCATTAAAAAAAAAAAACCCCTATATGAAGTATCATTTAATATTGCATGTTGATACTGATTATTTTCTAGCCACAGGGAATCCTTGGGTGATGCTACTGGAGTGACCTTGATATAAGAATGACTGCTGCTGGACTGCTAGCCTTTATGCAGTAGGCAAACGAGAGCATCTGAAAGGAGTAACATAGCCCAGAACCTCAAACATGCACTTACTTTTGGCACTTGTCTTCAGTCAAGAAATAGCAGCTTCTTTGCCATATCAGAGAAGATGATGGCCTGAATTTAAGTAGGGCTCCAGAGCACATCAGGAAAAAAGGGAATGTATGGGGAGAGCCAATGATAAAACTGGCCACTAATATGAGCAACTGGGGTCAAGTTAGTGTGAACACTGCAGCGAAGGTAATGTGACTTTGTATGTTGAAGTACAACTAATTGTGACCCTTGAAAACCTTGGGTGTAACTTTTTCAGACCATAAAAGGCTGCTGTGGGGACAAAGTCCCCTTAAATAAGGAACCAAAGTATCTGGAGATAGATGCAACAAAGTATCTTTTATTGGCATGCACAATAACAGTGATCACCAGCCAAAGAATGCAAAAGAGAGCCGCAAATTAAGCAAGGTTATGGGATATATACCCCCAGAAATGTTACATAGGAAAGATATAGTAAAGTAAATCCTACTTTGACCTTTACAGCTGGAATGCGCCATCTGATAATACTATGCTTTGACCTTATGATGGCTATCCCAGAGCCTCTACATTCTTCTCTCCTAATGGTACTCGAGCCCATCCTAATTACAGATACTAACATTATGTATCATAAACAGTGGCATTTATTGTGCTCATACCTTGCCTCCCCTCACACCAAGGGAAAGACCACAGTCTGGTTTCTGTTATCTGTCTCCTCTCCCTCCAGGGTGATCAGATGACTTGGTTGGCCTGCTCCTTTGTATTTCTTATGCTATGCGCAAGCCATCATACATGATAACCCTCCACATTCCATTCCATAATTGTTATTTGCCACTGATAGAAAGGGGAATTTTTAAAATACATAATCAGAGAATATATTGAATGTTAATTAAATGGAAATGAAATGAAATCTAATGTCAGTCTTTGTCCTGGTAGACCTTGGCCTAGAAAATACAGTGGAGCCCAGTGAAAACACTGGCTTTTATCAATGCAAGAATTGACTGGGGTTGAATTGGCTGTTTATTTAAGGAGCTGAGATC